GTATAATTTGTGTTCGGCAATTATTTGGATAAAAACACAAAGATTATTTTGGTCAAGCAAGACAAAATATTCTACAAAATCATTTGACTTCAAAATCTATAGGTCGTAGAAGACGACAAAAGTCTAAATGTTACCTAAGCGCCAGGAAAACAAAAACGTATTTGGTGATAGACTTTATGTCTCTTTATTCAAAAAGCCCCTACAATGCATCATTTTATAAAGATAAAGCCAAAGACAACAATATTCTTGATCAAATTTTAGTTTAAACCTAAAATGTTTTTTTATATGTATATTTGAATTCTTGGTGTTTAGTAGAATTTTATGACATATAATTTTGTAAAACATTTTGACTTTCTACAATGCCGTTCAAAGCGTATTTGAAGCATATTTTTAAAAAAGGATCAGGAGACCATTTTGCTGTCGTGGTGGAGAGATGAAATGTTAATCTTTTTTTTTTCTGTAATATTTTCAAAAACACTAAACATCTAAAATCAACGAGATGCAAGGAATCTTAATTCGATTTTTTTACTTAGATCTCTTTGCAATGTAAACTTTCAAAATTTCGATACATGTGTCTTTTATTTTTAGCTGGATTTGCCTTGTAATTATTTTTTGTGTTGCACAATGTAATATAATATATAAGTCGATAGTTTAAACACCATTAGCACTTGCAAATTTTTGCCGAAAAAGAAGTACGTTTTTTTGAAATAGGGCCGAAGAACCATTTAACTCGTCCAGCTTCCTTCTTTCCAACACTATTCACTCTACTTTTCCATTACTTTCTACAAAAACAATTACTTTTCAATAAAAGATCAGTGCCATAATTTAATTGAAAATAATTGATTAAGGAAACACTTAAAAATTTCCAAAGAATTAACTACACGTGTCCAATGCCACAATGGAAACAGATTGCAAAATGGACAATTGCCTCCAACACCTACAAAAGCCCTACAATAGATTTACAAGGAAATCCATTTCGAAGCTAATACAAAGCGGAAGTTGCCGACACAGAAGACAGAAAACAAATACAGATTATGAACTACTTAAGAATTAAAACCAAAACAAAGAGAGCAACTGCATTGACCATTTAGCAACTGACCATAAAGGCAGGTATGTGGCAATAAATGGTTGGGTCAGAGCACGCTTCAAGCAGGCGACTTTGCAAAAAAAACTACATTTTTTTGAAGAAAAAAATAATGCTACAATAAAAACAAATATTTGGCAAGAATAAAGGTGGTCCAGCAAAAAGCAGCTGTTACAAGAAACGATGCAAAAAAGAAAAAAAGCAAAGCGAAAACAATCAAAAGAAATTTTCATTCATTCGTTCATTGAAAGGCACAGCAAAGAAAAAGGGATCATGCCAATTTTTTATTTATAAATTTGACATTAAAATGTGTTAAGTACCTACTTATAAATGTCATTACGTTACTACAAACACACATACTGCATTCTGCTGCAACAACAACAATGGAGACAAAACTAACAACTGAAAGCAAAGACCCACCTCTGTGACAAATTTTTCATGTTTATTGGTTTATTGTTGAAGTTACACAATTAACAAGATTTTATTACCACTTAACATACGTGTTTGACAGACGCACACACACACACACACACACACCAATGTACACAATTACACCACCATACAACATGAAACCATGAAACTATCCTTTAAGTATCAGAACATTTGTTTCTTTTGTGGCCTCTAAGAAGAGGTACGTACGTGTGTGTCCCCTAACTTCGTTCATTCATTCATTTATTCAGCCAAACATCGATTCTACAGAAAATGATTGAACACGAGTCCCACAACAACAGCACACTCTCTCGAAACTCAGCTCAGCATTCTCCATCGTTTTCGTTTCGATTCAAAAGTCACAAAAGAACAATTATCAAAAAATAAAAATTCTTTAATTTTTATTGTGTCTCTCTGAGAGGGAGCCACAAAGGAACGCCTGGCACTCAAATCGTATTTGTCAAATGAACGTTGACATTAACATCAACATTTGCCGCCAAAATTATCAGGAATTTTTCGAAGTAAATTTTCGTCCTTTATAAGACAATTGGAAGGGATACGCATACTCTTGCACTCAGCGAATACCTCTCTCCCTCTCACTCTCTCTTTAATTGTGTGTGTGTTTGTCTCAAACATTGGGTAATGTGTCATTCTATTATTTTGCCAGACAAAGTCACAAGGATCAATCAGCTTACTCCTGACTTATGTGTGACATATTTTCTTTTGAATACATTTACGTCTAATACGGCTGTAGACAAAGAATTTCTTTGGTATTGACAAAAATTTTGCCAAGTTTCCTTTTTTTGGTAAACTGGTTTAAAGAATTAAGGCATTTTGCATTAAAGAAGAATTCCACGGAAGTCACCAAAAAATTAAAATATTATTGTGACCTTATGGATTTTGAGGCGATCATGCAAATTTATGTTGGAACTCCCACCATACTGGAAGTAAGGATTAAGAGAAAACGGATTTGTGACATTTTAATTTTGAAAATCCGAATTACATTTTTTCAGATATTTTTTACAAAGAAATGAGTAGCTAGGAAAAAAGGCGTTAACTTACTACTGGGCCGAACTTCATCCATGAGAAAATCACAACATTTAAATATAGACCCGAAGGCATTCGTTCCAAATCTTAAACAAGAATCGTGATACCCTACAACACTATGTGTTGGGTGTATTATAAGTTTGATTGGGCCATAAATTATGTCACATCTCGAAATAATGGTTTCCGACATAGGAAACTATATATGGATCTTCCTATCTCGCCAAGCTGAGTCGATCTAACTATGTTTGCCCATCCGTCCGTCCATGTTAATTCGTAATCACGCTATAGGTCGCAATTGTGGCCCGATCCTCACGATAATGGAGGTGGAATTAAGGTCAGAATAGAATCCTATTGTTTTTCGAGATGATCGCACAATATAGGCCACAATTATGAACCAATCGACGCGGCAATTCGCATGGAGTTAGAGTTCAGGGCTGAGCAGATCGGACAATATTTAACGGTAAAATGTCAAAAAATAAGAAACCGCGAATCACAAATACATCAAAAGGTCACTTCTGACCATTATAGCAAAATAGATACAATATATAGAGTGAGATAAAAAAACTACAACAAAGTCAAACTCCATATTTTTTAAATTTTATTGAACGTAAGCAAAACATGTCGGAAATAGCATCAAATTTTAGAATACGTTTAGATTTGTTAGAATTGGTCACCTTCGGCACGAATTATGGCCTTCAAACAATGAAACCGTCACACGCTGCTCGAGTGTTGCTCTGCGGTATTTTGGCCTATTCCCGGTGGAGCGCTTGCTTGAGGTGGTCGACACTTTGGTATTTTTTAATGCCAACCTTGCTTTCCAAAATAATCCATACACAATAGTCCAACGGATTGGTATCCTGAGATTTTGGTGGCCATCATGCACTGGAAATGAAGCGAGGAACATAATTGTGTAACCATTCTTAGGCGATGTGTGCTAAGTGCGATGGTGCTGAGTGCTGTTTGGAATGTCCGAGGTCTGCGTGTCCAAGGCTTTAATACACCCTCCAGAATATTTTCGCGATAATATTTGGCATTTTTTCTGATGCCACGGTCGATTAATACGAGCGGAGAGCGACCATCGGTTGTTATGGCGGCCCACACCATCACCATGGCCGTCGCTTGAGTTCTGGTGGCCAACCGAAGGTGCACATTTTCAGAAAATCAAATTCGGCAGTTCACCACTTTCGGCCCAGCGAAGCAACTTTTTACCTCTTTTTGGAATTTCAATGGCTTTACCCCGAGCTTATTTCTCAATATTTGCCGAATGGAATATTGCGATATGTTCATCTCACGAGCCATTTTTCGGCCACTGCGAGGTGGGTTTCGATCAAGTCGCTTCTTTACTTTTCGAACCACTTCTGCTAATGTTGCTGTTTTCTTCCGACCACTTCCTTGACGTCGGGCCAAGCTACCAGTATCACGGTAACGAGCGATGGTACGAGACACAATCGATTTATTCACATTTAAATGCTAGAGCGCTCTAACGATAGCTACTTGTGGTTTTCCAGCCAAATATAAAGAAATCACACTATAACGCTTGAATTCCATCACGAATAACTTTTTTCTGGAAAATTCTCACCAAAATGTTTTGTGCGCTTATAAATAAAATAATGAGCTGTCACTGGAATCCGACAGCTGTCGGACGAGTGGCTTACAAATGACAGCAGTCTGAAGTTTGTTGCAGTTTTTTCCATTTCACCCTGTATTCTTGATCTGCATAAAATTATTTGTCGACTTAACGACTTTCATCCGTCTGTGGAAATCACTTAGCTTCCGAACGAATTGAAGTATGTTGAAATTTTACTCATTCATTAAGAACTTCTTTAGAATTATCATCAGATATCGTTGAAATAATCTTAGTCTTAGTTCAAATCTAATTTCTAAACCAATAGAAAATTCATAAATCTCTAATGGAAAACTTAGAACTAATACGAAGTATTTGAACGAGCCAAAATGGTGTTTCAAAAGGCTTGTAATTTCACATCCCTAAATAGCGTGAAGCGGAAAATTATTAGAAAACTATCTGAATAAAAATTGGATTATGCAACCGAAAAGAAATCCCAAAGAAAACGTGCCAAAGACAATAACCCAGTCGATGGTTGAGGCAATGAATGAAAAATTCTAAAATCTAATTTCAAAAGAAAGACAATAACAACAACAACATTACTAACTACGCCACAAAATAGACACAGGCCAACAATGTTTCGTTTTTTTTTTGTGATGGGGTACCTGCATTCGCTGGCGAACACTCACTCTTAAGGGCGGAGCATAACATTTAGTCCAACAATTTGAAATCATTAACAGAGGCTAACAATGCCTTTCCTGGCGATGGTAAACTATTTGTCTAATTTGTCAGAGGCATGAATCAATGAATTGCACGCACACACACACTGAGGCAACAATAGACAATGGTGGCTGGTTGGCAAACAGGCTAGAAGGTTGATTCAGCGACAACAACCCTCAAATTATAATTTGTTGTGGTAGGAAGTTGGAAGGCATTGTCCTTTAACAGTTATGGCAGATTGACAACAACAACTTGGACGGCAACTAAGGGTAGTTTGAACCCAAGGGTGCCGGTCCGTCTAAGGGTGGTTCACTATATAAGCCAGGATCAGCAAGGCAGAGAGCATCAGTTCACCTTCATCCGTGATCATCTCAACAACTCTCGCCTTACGAAAGATATAAACAATTTAATTCGTGTTTTTAAACGAAAATAAAAATCTGCAACGAAAATGTCTCGCTCATTTTTAATGGATTCTTTGCTCAGCGATAACATGCCTCTGAAAAAGGATACTTTGGGCTCTCCAACGGCTGTGTCACCGGCTGCCACCAATGCAGCTCAAGCTGCCGCCGCTGCTGCTGCAGCAGCTGCCATGTTGCCCCAAATCCCCATGCTGCCATACCCGGCCAGCTATGTGGGCAGTTATTTGTTCTCCTTGGGTATACAACAACAGCAGCAGCAACAACAAGCCGCAGCAGTAGCTGCAGCCGCTTTGCAACAACAATCCTATCATCCATATGCCTCACTTTTGGCCCAAAAACGGAAAGCTTCTGCCGCATTTGACACCTACAACACCGTACCGGCCACAATTCCATATGGAACAATTCTACCCTTGGCCGCTGACAATGTCTATTGCACCTCACCATCAGCCTCTTCATCCACCTCCACCATGGATTATCCCTCAAATGATGAACAATCGTCAAAACGTTATCGTCACGATTCTTCCTGTTCACCATCCAGCTCACCACTGAAACCCACCGCCAACAGCAATTCGAACAACCAAACTGTCTCCGCCAGTTGCTCCAGCTCACCAAATGTAGACATTACTCCTGTCATCTCAGACTATGCCGATTCCAGCAAACGCATTCGTACCGCTTTCTCAAGCACCCAACTGTTGGAATTGGAACGTGAGTTCTCCATGAATCCATATCTGTCGCGCTTGCGTCGCATTGAAATTGCCAATCGTTTGAGGCTGTCGGAGAAACAAGTCAAAATCTGGTTCCAAAATCGCCGTGTCAAGCAAAAGAAAGGTTCCGAATCTCCAACCTTCAACATGTCCGGAAATAATCCTTCAAGTCCTTCACAATCACCCAAACAACATGATGACTGTTCGCCTTCGAAGGGAATCAAAAGGGAACAATAATTTGCTATAATTTTGTTGTTTTTGTAAATATGTACAAATGTATTTTGTGAGGTTATGTAGTTTCTAAGAAAATTTTTATTTTTAATGTTTTTTAAGAAATGTTTTATGAAAATATACAAAATTTGAAAATTAATATCTTAATGATTATTTTTTGGGATATGGAATATTAAGAACCGTCGAAGAGAAAGTTACAAAATATAGTCAATATTGGCAGGGTATTGTCATTTGAAAGTTTTTTTAACAACTTTTAGCCAAGTTGCTGACAATCATAATTCCGCAATTTAATTTTTGCAATTTTTTTATATGATAGCAAATCTTTATTACAAAAGCATATCAATTGATTAAAAAACGCCATTAGAACCAATTGTGTCCCACAAATACTAATTTTCAGACACATTCGTGGGAAAATGTGTCAAAAATCATCAAAATATTGAATATCGGAAGGTACCGCTATATGGGGCTATAAAAAAACGTGAATAGGTATACATACAATATTTCGGCAACGGAGCTAGAACACATTATGACCACCAAAAACCAATTTTTAGACAAATCCGTGAAAAAATGTGTCAAAAATCATCAAAATACCGAATATCGGAAGGTACCGTTATCGGGTACTATATCAAAACGTGGACGGATATATCTCATTTTCAATACCAACCATCCCAGACACAATAAAAATTATTTTGCTAAATTTTGATGCTCTACGCCAAATAATGTGGGCTGTATCGTGATTTCAACAGACAGACAGACAGAGAGACGGCCATCGTTAAATCGACTTAGAATTTTATGCTGTTACGAACGGAATGACAAAGTTAATATACCCTCCATTCCTAGGTGGAGGGTATAAAAAGAAGCAAGGCCGAACTTTTTATACATTCTACCCTTTTGAGGCAACTTGAAAATTTTCAAAAAATGGGGTATATACAGGTTGAGATGAAAAAACTGCAACCAACTTCAGACTGCTGTCATTTCTAAGCCACTCGTCCGATAGCTGTTTAAATTATTCCAGGGACAGCTCATCATATTGTTTACAAGCGTACAAAAGCATTTTGGTGAGAATTTTCCAAAAAAAAAGAAGTTATTCGTGATGGAATTCAAGCGTGATGGTGTGATTTCTTTATATTTGACTGGAAGACCGCAAGTGGCTATCGTTAAAGCACTCCAGCATTTAAATGCGAATAAATCTTTTATGTATCGTACCATGCTCGTTACCGTGAAACTGGTAGCGTAGCCCGACGTCGAGGAAGTGGACGGAAGAAAACAGCAACATCAGCCGAAATGGTTCGAAAAGTAAAGAAGCGACTTGATCGAAACCCACGTCGCAGGGGCTGAAAATGGCTCGTGAGCTGAACATATTGCAATTTCCATTCGGCAAATATTGAAAAATGAGCTCAGGGTGAAGCCATTGAAATTCCAAAAAGTGCAAGAACTTACACCGCTTGGCCGAAAGTGGCAAACTATCGAATTTGGTTTTCGCCGATGAGAAAACATTCGTTGTCCAGCAATTTGTAAACAAACAAAATGATCGTGTTTACTTGCCAAAGAGGTCAGCTGAAAATGTGCACCTTCAGTTGGCCACTAAAACTCAAACTCAGCCGATTAATCGACCGTGGCATCAGAATAAATGCCGAATATTAACGCGAAAATATACTGGAGGGTGTATTAAAGCCTTGGACACGCAAACATTTTGGCCGCAGACCTTGGACATTCTAACAGGACTTAACACCATCGCACTCAGCACGCGCCACGCAAGAATGGTTACAAAATAAGGTTCCTCGCTTCATTTCCAACACATTTCACCTTAAGCAAGCGCTTCGCCGGGAATGGGCCAAAATACCGCAGAGCAACATTCGTTTTCGTTGGCGTTTGAAGGCCATAATTCGTGCCAAAGGTGACCAATTCGAACAAATCTAAACTTATCCTACAATTTGAAGCTATTTCCGACATTTTTCCTTTCATTCAATAAAATTAAAAAAAAAAAATGTAAAAATTATGGCTTTTGACTTTGTTTCCGTATTTTTTATTTCACCCTGTATAAAATTTTGAAAGCATATAAAATCAAAAGTATAATATAAAATCAGATAAAATGCATAGTAAATTTTGATTGGAGAGGAAGTTATCTGGACTTTATGTTCACAGAAAATGAGTCAAATCTTACTGTTACAGTACAGTGAACTCCAAATTAATGATGATATATTAAATTTCCGTGTCCGTCCGTCTGTGGAAATCGCTCAAACGAAATGAAGTAGGTTGATAACATTTTTCTCAGATGTGTGTTAGATCTACAGGATTTTTTTGTATTGAAAGTATAGTGGGTGCTACAGCTTATGAACAAAAATTTCTGCCTATGTCTTCGTATAGGTACCTCTCTTTATTCGGCAGTATGATGATTTTAGCGGCATCATTCAACGGAAATCTATGAAATTTCGTATTTGAAGTTCCTTATGGGTACTACAGCCTATGACAGAAAATTGCATATACTGGTCCACATCTTTCTATAGACCCCAATATAACGGTAACTCCCTATATTCGTTATTTTTATACTCTCCGCCATTCTATGGAGGACATATTAGCTTTGTCATTCCGTTTGTAACTCCTCGAAATATTCATGATAGCCCTTACAAAGTACATATATTTTGGATCAGCTTAAAATTCTAAGACGATTTAGCAACGTCCGTCCATTTGTATGTCTGTCTGTGGTAATCCCGCAATCATTCGAACGAATAGAGATAGAAGGCTAACACTTTGCATAGATGTGTATTTTTCCAGTAGGCAGGTTAAGTTCGTAAATGGGCCATGTCGGTCCACGCTTTCGTATAGCCCCCATATAACGGTACCTCCATTTATTCGGTATTCACGTACGCATTTGCCTAATGATGTACGCATGAATGGAACTTTAAAATATTGATTTTCGTCTATCCACTAAAATAGCATCTTATATGCCTGATGAACCGCTAAACCAACGGCGAAACGCGTCGCATACTAGTTGATGTGTGGGACTTTGTCAGATTACAATTTTCAATGGCAACGCTTTAGGTCATTCGATAGACAAAATGATCAAACGTTTTTAATTATAAGGGGAAATTTTCCCAAAAACTGTAAGAATAAATCTATTTTCACTTTATGGAAAAAAACTAAAAACGAACGTAAACTTTTCGATATAGCTCCATATGGTAATGGTACCATAATGGTCCCGCCCGAAGACTAATATCTCCTTAAAAATAGCCTAATATAGCGTTACCGCACGTTATTTTTCTGCATATAATTTTAAATAAGTCTGACCAGAAGCGGGCATAGCCTCAGGGCTGTATTTCTTTAGTTTTACGAAGTTGTTCCACCTCCTAATGGTGACATGATTTTTACTGTATTTTTATATAATCATTTTTTCTTCTACTTTGTTTCTTTATAAAATAAAAATATTTTAGTCGGGTGAAATCAAGATACATATCTAACTTCATAGACTTATTATACCTCATGGCTATAATTATTATCCAGCAAAATGGCATATTTTGGCATTTGAGAAGGGACTGATTTGTTTCCAATATTCACATTTGTGATTATTTTCTCTATCACTGAGAATCAATTTAATGGTCTCTAAATTAATTCAACTCATGACAAATTTCCAAATTATTTGCTTCTCTACTCATTATATTCAACATTTCCTCAATTTCATAGTTTAACATGATTTTCGAAAAAAAAGACTGTCAGCCCTATATCCTCCTGAAATAGCTGTATTCAATCCAGCGGCTGGATTCTCGTTCTATGAAAATACGAAATGAAAAATATTTTCTTTACAATTTTTTTCATTTGACATTTTTCTCCCTTATAAAAGTTTTCATTTCACATTTTCATAGAACAAAAATTGAGCCTCAGCTTACTATTTTTTTTTTTTCATCCCAATTGCTAATTTCATTCTCATACGGAAGTATTTATCAGCAACAATTACTTTGGCCTATTCTTTGGGTTTTTAGCCATGCTTGTCGGATTATCCTTTCATGCAAATAAACTGGAACAAGTCTGTGCGAACGACAGGAATGTGTATGTGTGTGTTTGTGAGTGAGTGTGCAATAGACAATTTTGACAAAGTTGGCAACAAATTAATTTGAATGAAATGTGTGAAATATTTTAAGCTGACAAATGTACATAAAAAAGAAAGAAAAAAATTGCAGAATGTCGAATTGAATTTTGTGTCAATTGTCATTGGATTTTCATAAATATTGAAATTTATCGCCTTAAACGGATTACGAGGACGTCAATGGGAAATTTCCGGAAGCTGAAATATTGTTCAGGTATTTATTATAACACCCATTGTTATAAAGCTCTTCCGTTTTATTGTTATTGACTCCGTAGATCTGGTACCAAACATTTTCATATATATTTAAAATGTGCGCGATAAAAATATAAAATATATGTGGAAATCAAATTGAGGGCAGAAGGTTACCAAGAAGCAGAAACATAATTCGAAACATATTCAAATCATCACTACGAAAATAAATCTGCAATATACTATTCACAGGAAATGGGTAAGTGAACTCCCATGTTTCTATGTCAGCCCCACACCTACATTTCCATGTCCAACTAACATTGGTATTAATTAGGCAGTGGTAATATTCACTCGGAACGTTGATATTATTTTAGCCCCTGTATTTTATATAGGTAGGTCTATAATATAGTCCGACTTCATTGGATTGAAAGTCTAGAATTTAACTATAGCCGTATGAACTGTAACTCATCGCCATGGGTCCAATCCCTATAAAATGCGAAAAAAACCTATTTTGTAATTACAAAACCCGCGAAATTGTCGAAAAAAGTTCAGAAAAATGAAGAAAATCGTAGCCAGTACACAAAATTAATATCATTGGCAGACAAACATCATCAGAGCAGTAAGTCGAAATCTAGGAATTTTCATCGTATCGTTTGCAAGTATCAGTCAACATGGGGACTGTTTTCAGCCTTTATTGGGATGGTACCGAAGGAGTGGGCCAATATTTTCTATTTTGCTTAAGTCCGATATAATTATTGCGACGTGCCTGGTTTTCATTATATCGACTACTTTCTCCCCTTTATTTGAGATAGCATATATTTTTTGGAAAATGTTGAACTTTTGTGCAGTAGGTAGGAGATAGGGTGGACTGATGTATTAAAATGTTCAAAAATTACTTATTTCCAGTTTTGTTGGATTAATTGGTAATCAGCATTTCTTACATTTTGTGGGGGAGGTATCAAAAGGAATGTACCGACATATGTCATATTTGCATTACATCAAGTGCTTATTAAAATATAATTATTCAGAAGCAGAGGATCGAAAATTTTCATAACCACGCCAGAACTTGAGTTTTGAGAAACATTGAGATACACATAGGTTAAAGAGAATCCCTGAATTATTTCACATGTTATTGGGGTTATAAGCAGCCAAAATGTTAACCCCTTGTGGGGAAGGTACGAGAAGGAATGATCCGATAAATTCCATTTTCACATAAGATGTCTGGTTGACATAAATATTTTGATATAGAATAGAATCGTGACCGGTTTCGCAAGTTATGAAAGATATAAGTAGTTAAAATTGTTACCCTTTGTTGGGGATGTACCAGAAGGGATAGGTAGCTATCTAGTAAGAATATTGAGATGTGTGAATATTGAAGAGAAACGGATGCTTATTTTTTCAAATTGTTGACCCGTTGTGGGGGAAGTATCAGAAGGGGTGCACCGATATATTTCATATTGAAACCAAATATTGCATTAGTAAAAATAAAAAAAAATTGAATATTTGTTCAAATTCAAAATGTTGACCCTTTGTGGGGGACGTACATGATGGAGTGGGCCATTTTCGCAACTGGCACTAATATAAACATTGGAATTTGCAAAGCATGCACAAATTAAATGGTCCTTTCTTTTTCAATATGGTAAATTATATTTTGGGGGAGTTCCCAAAAAGAGTGGACCGATATTGCCCATCTCCGAAATCGATCTAAGTTTGACAATAATATGACGATGTGTCAAGTTTGGATCACATCGGATATTCCCTCCGAAAATCGTCGTACGCACGAGCCAGTCAGACATACAGACAGACGAACGAACACCCCTAGATTAACTCCATATGTTCTGAAACGGATTTAGTCCAACGGAACCTAGGGTCTAAAACCGTTGCTTCGATGAGGCACGTTTTGGTCTATCAACTAATATGTACCCTCTTAGCCATATGGCTGAGGGTATAAAAAACGGTTAAGTTTGGCGGGGGTCGATTTTTTTACCTTCCAGCGTTTGTGGGGAAGCCTGGCAATGTTTAGACAATGTTCTGCGATAGGAGGTAGAAACCATCACGAACTCTAAATACTCAAAAACGTGGACCGATATAGCCCATCTGCGTGATTTTCCTTCCTGTAGACAACTCGTCTAGACTACAGGGTTGCCCATATTCGACGGACCCATCTGGCAACGCCATAACTTTTGACAGAGATGTCACATCGCTTAATGACATACCGCGTTTGCAGCGTCAGTCCAAGCTGATTTTTACCATGAACCAATACACGCCACGCGAGCGCTCTGAAATAGTTGAAATTTACAAGAAGTCAATTGTGAAAACTCAACGTGCTTTTAAAACATTAAAAAATGTGAGAAGTGCGCCTTCTAAGAACACCATTAAGCGTTTATACGAAAAATTTTCGACTGGTAAGGCTCTTTCTAATCCGAAGAGGCCATATAAAAGTCGACCAAGGCGATCGGCCGAGAATATCGCTGCCGTACGAGCCAGTGTTGAGAGGTCCCCAAGAACATCCCAAAAACGCCGTTCTCAGGAGTTGGGCATGGATCGGTCCACTTTACAACGGATTATTCGCAATGATTTGCATTTGTCCCCGTACAAAATTCAACTGACGCAAAGAATGTTGCCTGCGGACAAGCCTCGTCGAATGGAATGGGCCCAAAGGGCCCAAAGGTCCGTCGAAAACCCTGTATAGCTTGATTCCTGGAAATTATTCTAGCCGAACTAAATAAATTTTTATACAGATGTATTTTAGGTCCGCAGGTCCGAAACGTTGTCATATAGGTCCATAATTCAAACAGAATTAATTGCTAATTTGTGCCTCCAGTATCCATGCATAGAACTGTCTATATAGGTCCAATTTTCGCTATTTTTATGATTATTCATCGGAATTTTGGTATTTGGAGTTCGTGATATTTACGACCTCCTATGTCGGAAAACTGTCTTTACTGGTCCATGTCTTCGTATAGTCCCCATATAACGGTACCTGCCTATATTCGGTATTTTGATGATTTTGGCGATATTTTTAAGCGGAGTTTTTCGTATTTGAAGTTCCTAATGGGTACTACAGTTTGTGATAGAAAATTGCCTATGCAGTTTATGGTCTTCTTATAGCTCCCATATAACGTCATCTCCTTATATTCAGCGTTTTCAAGATTTTAGCCACATTTTCACCGGAATTGTTTAAAATTTGAAATTTAGAGATTAAAATGGATACTACTTTCTATGACAAAAAATTGCATTGCAGGTCAACGGCTTTGTATAGACTCCAAGTAATGATACCTCACAATATTCGGTATTTTCATGATTTTAGCGTCCCTGAATCCGAATTTATACTAGGCAATTTTTCTGGCGGCAATACCTTATTTGTAGCAGGGCGTATGTAGAATGGAAATGTTGAATGATTGCATTATCATTTTAAAATTTAAATTTTGTAGGCCTTGTCTTGATTTTTATACCCTCCACCATACTATGGAGGGTATATTCATTTTGTCATTCCGTTTGCAACTCATCGAAATAATGATCTTAGACCCAACAAATTATATATATTCTTGATCAGCGTAAAATTCTAAGATGATTTAGCCATGTCCGTCTGTCTGTCTGTTGTAATCACGCTATCTTTCGAACGATTTGAGATAGAAGGCTAAAATTTTGCACACATGTCTATTTTGCCAGTAGGGAGGTTAAGTTCGTAAATGGGTCATGTAGGTCCACGTTTTCATATAGCCCCCATATAACGGCACCTCCCAATATTCGGTATTTTGATGATTTTAGCGTCATTATTCACCGTAGTAGTTTCAAATTTCGTATTTAGAGTTCGTAATGGGAATTACAGTCCGCGACAGAAAATTGCCTATGCAGGTCTAGGTTTTCGTATCAGTACCTCCTTATATTCGGTATTTTGACGATTTTAGGTACAATACTCATCGAAATTGTTTGAGATGTCGTATTTGAAGTTCGTAATGGAATCTACAGCCTGTGACAGAAAATTTTCTATGCAGGTCCAGGTCTTCGTATAGCTCCTATATATGTACGATATTTTGATGATTTTGGCTACATTATTCACCGTTTATTTCAAGTTTCGAATTTGAATATGGTAATGGCTTGTGACAAACAATGCCTATGTAGGTGCACGTCGTACAGGCCCTAACAAACCGGCTGTATTCGTTATTTTTAAAATATTAACAGAATTTTTGGCGAAGGTTATCTTTTTCGAAAATTTTTAAATTCGGTCTAAATGGTGGAGGGTATTCAAAGTTCGGCCCGGCCGAACTTACTGCTTTTTTACTTGTTCAGCTTATGTTGATGTATTTTTTAAGGGTTTTTATCTGTGTCTTTTCATTAAATAACGAGTTTTTAATCAGGAGAAGAGAATTTTTAACTCTTCCTAGCAGATTTGAAAACAATTTTTTTCTTAATCCACATACAAACAATTAACAATGTCCTCGCATTTTTTTTAATTTCTTAAAATGGAAAATTGAAATGTATCATATAACCGTCATTGAATTTGGCTTTCCTTCGGGCCTCACAGAGGCATATCCACTCTACATGCATCAAGCTCAATTATATGGCACTTTACCACATATAGATTCTGAAAGGATTGGTAAATTTATTCAAAAATTATAACTATTAAATCTATATTGACAAATGTTGGTCCTAGAGATTAAACCACTCATGTTGAGTGGCTATATAACAAAACCTTTATTTTATGTAGAATAAATCATTTATCACCCACGTTATGTGTGAGGTCCTGAAATAACTTAAAAGCCACCGACAAACCGCAAACTGTATTAACTAACAATTAGCACATTTTTGCTCAATCATGAAGCAACAATTAATCAATGGGAACTTTCCAAAATATTCCCACAGGCTGTTGAGAGTAAAGAAAAATCCACCATCATTTCCCACGACACTTGAAACTGTCAACGTAATTAAATAAATTAAAGTCTTAGCTACACCATGTTGCAATTTTCGGCTTTAATGATAAGGCAGAATTATCTCAAAATCTACAGAAGAGAAGAACAACAACATCGTCAGTGAGAGAGATCGAGAGTTGCAAATATTTGCCAACTCAGTTGCAATTGAGCGTAAACAGGACGATTTGTTACAAAAATTGAATGACGACAACGTTTTTCAAAATACTTTCCTTGCATTGTTGGCAATTTCGTGTCTCTGGGCAAAAAAGAAAACAATTGTTTTCGTTACTCATTCCCTGGTTCAAAAGGGCAGTGGGTAATAAACGCAATTGCACCTACTCCTACA